AATAATAATAATAATAATAATAATAATAATAATAATAATAATAAAGGAATGAAAAAAAAAGCCGACGGAAGGCACTACATTCACCCACACATACAGAGTGATGGGGAGAGGAGCAGTAATGATAAAGCGAAGAAAGAAAAAGATCTAAAACAAACAAAGATAAAAAAAATAAATAAAATAAAATAAAAAGAGATATAGGTAGATACACTATGACATAATCATCATCAACGAGTTTCTGTGTTGCCGTACGCTCATTTGAGTTGCTCTACGATGCTCTAATTCCATCTCCCTATTGTTATTACTATTACTATCACCATTTATTATAGTTGCGGTTTTTATTTGAAAGCTAATCTCAGGATACTTTCAATCCTTTCCTTCTTTCTCTCTCAAAGGGATAGAGTGAGAAAGAAAGAAAGAAAGAAAGAGAGAAGTAAATAATAACACCAATCATAACAATAATAGTAACCATAACAATTAATAGGAATCATAGAAATAGAAACACTTGACTGTCATGAGAGACAACAACACAAAAATAAAAAAGAACAACAACAATCGAAAAAAAAAGGAAAATGTATAAACATTTGTTTTTTTTTTCTTTAAATGAACACAATCAATAAACAGATAAAGAAGACAGCTGTATTGATACAGGATAAAAACAGGTAAAAAAGAAAGAAAGGAAGAAAAGTAATTCTCTCCCTCTATAACATATAAAGGCCGCAGACAGGAATCTGAGAAACAAACAAAGATATAGGAACGTACAGAAATAATAAGAACACAGTCAGGAAATCAAAAAAAAAAAAAAAGGCCAATCTTCCTACTTGAGTGTTCGTTACTACTACCATTATCACCACAAGTTGTTATTATCAAAATCCTTTAATTACCATTGTTCATTATCTCCCACACACACACATATACATACACATAATTACGGTTGTGAGGACTGAGAGTGGGCGAAAGAGCAAATTTCATTTTCCCCTTCGCAAATACAGTCTGTCCACCACAAAGAAACATAAAAAATAGATAAATAAAGAAATATATATATATATATATCGTTGTGTTGGGATGGAGATGGGATCTGCTATTTTCATGCAACGTGTGCACACAGCAGACCCAAAACAGCAATGGAGCCCAACGGAGCGGAAATGCATACAAATAAATACAAAAAAAAAGGAAAAAAAATAAAAAAAAAGTAAAAATAAGAAAAAAAAATAAAAAAAAAAAACCATGGTAGTATTCATATCAATGATAGGAAGAAGAAGAAGAAGAAAAAAAAAAGAAAAAAAAAAGAAACAACAACATTAACACGAAAAGAAGGAGTTTTATCTACAAGTAGTGTGATTGCCCTGTTATTTCTCTAGTTGCTTAGAGAGAAAGTGTGTATGTAAAAGCAGTTGAATACAGAAAAGATTGGATTGCTTTGATTTATTCCATTATACTGTTATTAGTGTAAATACATATCCACCATCACATCTCAATAATACCTCAAAAGAGTGTCAAGAGTTTTTTTTTTTTTTTTTCTCGCATCTCTCACTCTCTTTCTCTCTATTTTATTTTATTCCGTTTTATTCATTTCAATCATTCCATTGCGTACCTCCATCCATATAAAGAAGAGAGAGAGAAAAAAAAGACATACGTATCTATACACACATATACGTTTTCTGAGAGATACAAGAAGAACATAATCTTAATAATAATAATAATAATAATAATAATAATAATAATAATAATAATAATAATAAGAAAGAAATAAGGAAGTAAGAAATGAAAAAAGAAAAACGTGCGGTGAGACTACATTTAAGAATGAATCGATATAGACCAAGAACGAAAGAGGAGGTTCGATCTCATGTAAATATCGGAAATAAAAAAAAAACATTCGTTCTTTCTTCTCTTTTCTTCTTTCTACAGTTGTGGTCCTTCAGCATAATTGGCTTCTTTCACAAGATACACACTCACACACACACGCATATATAAATATATATGCCCTCTCTCTCTCTATAGATATATAGATATAGATATATAGATAGAGAAGGGGAGAGAAAGAGATCTCAGCTTTACTCATGTACTTCTTACTCTCTTATCTCTGGAGCCCAACACACAGTGAACACCCACTGTTTGGAAGTTTACTAAAAGGAATGGAATCGCCACATGAGCGGCAACAGAGAAAAACAAACAAAAGGAAAGTACATATATATATATATATATATATATATATATATA